AATTATCTTCATGGTATTTATTGGCTTGTTAGCCTTAGCTGCCGGCCAGAGCTTCGGAGGACCAAGAGGCGGCCAGGGTGGCCAGCAGGGCTCAGGCAGAGGCGGCCAGGGTTCACGCAACTCCACAAGCTCTTCCTCTTCTAGCAGCAGCACAGTGGCCAGCACATTAAGCGTGACCACCGCAGCATCAACAAATACCTAGAAAATCTATCGAAAACCTATCCACATTTCAAATATACATTTTTCTGTAAATAAACACATATTTAGCACGCTTCAAACAATATGCCCCTTATTTCACGCAGTCTAGGGTAGTTTACATTGCTGTCAATGGTTAACCCAAAGGCAATAAATATCTGGAACCACACGAATGCGTTATCACACCAACTATTGGTCACATAATAGGATACAATATGTCAGCTTCTGTAAATACCTAAAATAACCAGGAATAGTGCCCTGGGCGAAAATTACCGATTAAGAAATACCCTGCACATTTACACAAACAAACGCGCTGCTTATTCTCTAGACCCAAATTATGGGAAATGTATGCTTTGATATTTTGAGTATTTACAGCCTATCGCGGAATGGTATCGATAAAATCCAAAAGCTATCGAAAGCTGTTGATTATTTGCCCAATATTAAACACCAATTTAAAGACTATCGAATGTTAATAGTAATTAGAAGAGTATAAAAATTGATCGGTAATTTGAACAGTTTAATAATTTATCGATAATTTAAAAATGATCGAACGTTATCGATAACTTGAAATATTTATATATTTGAATGGCCCATGGCAAACCTTTATTCCTACTCAGAAAATTTAGCGATAATGTCAATAATATCGAAAGTTATCGATAATTTGATTAAGTTCTATCTAGCTGCGAAGAGTACATAGGAACCTTTATTTCGACTTCGCTGTTGATGATGTTCAAGAGTATTCATATTTATTTTACATGATTGCAGATTCAAACTTTTCCCTGTTACATAAATTTTTACTATGTCATTAAACCCCTTTTCAGTAGATGTAGGGTATATATATAAAATTATGAAGCGTAAACAGCGTCAACGAAGCTGCACGTAAATTGTGCAAAGTGCAGTTCAAATTCATATTCACGAGAGTGCACTCAAACACACACACACGCACATACACACACGGATACAGAGGTCATAGTCACCTCGGGCAATTGTTACGCCTGAATGCAGTTAACAGATTGCACGCCGATAGCCTCGAGGCTGCCAAGCTGCAAAACCGGCCGGTTTAAAAATGCAGTTAACACACGTCAAAGCCGTAGCCAAAGCCGTGAAAAAAAAGGGTTGCAGGTGGTTTAGCGGGCGGCTTTTGTTTCAGTGTAGCGATGCATAAAATTTGGTTAGACGAACGCGCCAGCCAAGCAGCGCGACGAGCGGGCCAGGATAGATGCACCTCATCCTCAACAGGGCGCATTAAATATATGCAGATAATTTGCAGCGATAAATGCGCTGAAATTGTTTTCAATTTATGCATAAAAATAAACAAAAAGCAACGTTGACCGCAACAAACGAATATTTTAATTTGTTTGCCAGTCAATTAGCATTTGGCTTTGATATATTCAAAACAATTTTTATTTGCAATTTTCAGCGAAAATAAGCCACAAATTGATTAAATATTTTATTTATATACCAAACGCAAGAACAAATAATATTGTTTAGAAGCTTCAATAAACTAATATCAACAAGTTAGCTTGCTAGCTTTTACGGTTTAGATATTGCGTTGATTTTCATTCATTTCGATAATGGACACAATATTAAGCTAGTGCTCTATTGGGGAGTGCATTTGTACCCTGAACCTTCTTCATTCAAATCCAAATGCGATAGAATATTCCTATGCATGATCTGTCTATACTATTCTAGAAGCAATATGTCATATTTGGTGACTCGAGCTCTTAAAACGTTAGAGATTCGCCTTATGAACAGAATTTCTATATCGATTTTAATTCATCATTTGGAAAAGGGCAAGTTATCGTTATGTCAGAAAAAAACTAGTATTACGTGGGCACTTGGAAGCCCTACGACCCAAATTTCAAGTCTCCAGCTCTTTTAGGTTCCGAGATGCTTGCGATCATACATGCGGACGGACAGACAGACAGACAGATTGATGCTGATCAAAAATATATATATACTTTATGGTGTCGGATATGCTACCTTCTGCCTGTTTTTTAGTCATTTTCGAAGGGTTCAAGGTATAAAAACAGCCTAGTCCATTTAATTCGAGGAGCTTCGAAAGCAGAAACCAAGAGCTGAAGCTTCAAATGCTTTCGGACAAGCGTATACATTAATGCTATCATCATCTGGCACGTTAAATAGCCAGCTTCTCTTGGCAGCAGACTTTCCGTACAGATATATTAACCAGCTAATGAGCAGCGAGCAGCAGGAACCAACTGCCAGTTGGCGGTTCACAGCACGAGTTCATGGGGTTAATCAACTTTGCCCGCCCCAAAAAGTGGCGCAACACACGCGCTTTTGTAAATCTGAGATGTGCCCCGGGCTCCGAGCCATAAGATTGGGCAGCAGCCACGCCCAGTTACCAACGCCCCCGTATAACAATAGCAGCGGCAGCAGTTCAATTGGCATTTGCTGGGAACCCGTTTAGAAAAAGCGACTTCATGTGGTCACGCTTTAAAAATATTTATAGCCCAACACCAAAAACAACTAACGCAAATTCCAATTTAAAAAAAAAAGGCAAAAAATTCCGAAAACCATAAAAATCCAAAACAAAACCGCTTTTTCGGTGGGCCTTTTGTTTAATGTTCGCAACGGCGCAGAACCGACACTTGAATTGATGTGTAATAAAAAATCGTGGTAATAGCCGCGATAAGTATAGGTGCACACATGTATATATGCATATGTATCTAGGCATATATCATTATCGCAGCCGCGGCTAAGCGTGCTTTGCATTATAATCGAAAGACCCCGGCCAGACTGCATGGCAGTTCCATTCGCTAATTTGTTATTTAAATTGACAAAAGCTCGCATTAAATATAAACAAAATTACGAACTGCGTGCTGTTGTTAATTAGCGTGCCGGTCTATGATATCTTTTGAAGCCGCCCCGAACTGGGCTCAGAACGCGTATGACTAATAGACGACATCTGTTCTTTATCTACATCCAACCAACTGGCTTTATCCCATTGTTTGGCTGTCTAACTGTCAAACTGTTTGCTGTAATTGGCTGACAAAACAAATAAATAATAGAAAAAAAAATAGTAGCGAACGGGTGTACACGACTGCGCTATGCTCTGTTCCCAAAGTACTTGGAAATCTTTAATCCAAATATGCTTGATTTTTCTCTTAGTAATTCCTTACTGTTGCATCCAGCTATTCTAAAACTGTAAGTTTAGGAAATATCGACCATATTGGCCGCAATATAAAGAGCTACAGATTTTCTCGGCTTGCTATAACCCTTTGTCTTAGCTTTAAGTCTCACATTCAATGTTACCAAAAAGTAAAATAAAACCTATATGCCCACTTGTCACTATATTCACAGAGTATTTAGAAAAAATCAGGTGCAGGTGTTGTAATTGGGTAATAAATGTGAGCCTAATGGCGCGTTGTGTCGGGCATATGTCATAGCGATAATTAGAAGCCACTTAAATGGTGTCTAGAGAAACCGTTTTGAAGTGTCTGTTGATTGTTCATTTAAGATATTGGTCAAGAATTCTTAAGTTAATGGGCAATAGATGTACGAATTAAAAATAAAAACATTTGGTCTTACCACAAAACTCCTAAGTTCGAAAGGATTTGGGCGCAGTCATAAACCAATTCCATAGAGCAGAAATCTGAATATTCAACAAAATTATCACTTAGTATTAACTCTCCCACAAATTAGTTGTTTAGTAGTTTCACATGAGGTTAGGCCCTGGACAAAACATTTAATTCAGCCTCTTTCGTGTTAAAAGCAATTTCCATATCCAAGACAAAACGAAACGCAACAAAACAAAACAAAACCCATCCATCCAACATTTAACTTTTGAATGTCAAGTTCTGTAAACAAGGCAATCGAATGTTTACATGCATACACACATATCATATCATATCATTTCATATACACAGCAGTTTGATCAAGTGGCTTGAGTCAGCCTCAAGAAACTTGTTTACAGTGCTTTCAAAATCAATGCTAATTCAGTTAACAAGTTTAGGCAGCTGATTGCATGAATTATTTGGCAAGAGTTTTAAAAACAAATAGAATAAAAGTGTTGGAAAGTTAACAGTGAGTGCCACCAGTAAACTGCATAAACCAATACTGGTTTTTAAACTCAAATTAAAATGAAGTGTAAGCTAAGGTTTATGCAGCCAATTGATTTTCAACTTAAATTACAAGTAAAAGCATGAAAAATGTTGTTAAATTAAAAGTATATTCTAGCTGCCAATCAATTGTTGTAAGCCAACAGTAAATTTAAAACAATTTCAATGTACAAGCTTTTATTTTTTGTTTTCTTTACTTTAAACGAAATTAGAGTTTTACGAGATTCTTTGCTTTTTGGAATTTCAACACAGATTCGAAAACAAAATACAAGACATATGAATATGTTAAACTAAGAAGAGTATACGAGCAAAATATAGCTGAAGTATGGGTTGGGTAGAGGAGGAGGGGACGCGGGCACATAAAAGAAAATAATTAGTAACTAATTTACATATTTGGAGTGTTTCACTTAAACATACATATACATATACTTATGTTTTACATAGATTTTACATTTTAGACATATACATCATATCATAGAGCGTATATTATATCAACCCTCTATCAAACGACCGATCAAATAATTCATTTACTTTCCCTACAGCTTATTGTGAATGTTTTTGCGCCTTAACAAACTAATATAAAAAGCCAGAAAATCAGGATAAGAAACTATGCAAAGCAGCTTTAAAATATGCTCAATATTGTTTATCGGACTATATAAACATATATATATATATATATATATATATATATATATATATATATATATATATATTGTTTTTGTGTATATATATGCACTTTTGATTCATTTCCTTTTGTGAGGGTCTAGTTTAGGAATGTTTTGTGTTTGTCTCTTAAAATTCAATTTCTTTTTGCTACGGTATGCAATATATATATTTGTGTATAGATAGAAGAAGAAGCAGGCATTGGGGGACAAGTATAAAAAATATCAACTTTTGTTCGCCTCTAACATCCAATGAACACCCACACAGAAAGCTAACCGGTTTTTGATTTTTTAAATGTTTTTTTGGGCGTTCTATAAATATTATGTCTGTCTATCTTTCCACTTTTGTGTGTCTGTCTCTCTATGCTCGCGACACGCTCTCAAAGACGGGTACAACAGGTACAACAACAACAATTAAACGCTATGCTAATTGGGTAGACCCTTCTGCCACAGACCTGGCCCTGGCCAACCCATCTACAGATTTGACAGCATCAAGATTAGCGTTATGCTGCTGCCGACGACTCCAGCAAGTCCTGTTGCGGCTATTGTGGCGGGCGCCTTATTGTTGCCGCCGCCAATACCGAAGCCAGCGAGCGCTGCGTCCTTGGAGGACATATTCTCGGGCGCCTCATTCGAGCTGACCTCGTTGGTAGAGGTTGAATCATTTAACGTTTTCTCCAGCGAATCCGGACCGGAATGCTTAACGCCCACATGCTCGACACGCACCAGCGGCGGTTCATGTATGGGCGTCGGCTCATTGGTGCTGGTGGTGGTCGCATGTGTCGTTGTCGATGTGGTCGATGTGGTGGTGGTCGTTGGCACGACGGTGCCATTCTCAATCCAATAGACGGGACTGAACTCCATCTTGACATCTTTCAAGTAGCTTTTGCGCACCTGCAAGGGATTGGACAAGAATTAAGCTGGCTAAGCGTTGGATTATATTTGTAGCACATACCTCGGCGCTGATCTTGCGCGAAACGCTCTCGCTGTCGTAGTAGAAGGCCGACAGCTTGGCGGTGTAGGGTGCTTCCAGGGTCACATAGTTGCCGCGCAGCGTCACGTTAATGGCCGTGCCTGGCCAGAGTTTACTGTAGACAGCTTTGTTCTCGTGGCGTTTCTCGCCGCGCTTCAGCGCCCAATTGATTTCGGCCGGCGCGGCTCCATTCTTCTCATATATCTTGGTCGGCAGACCCTTGGCAACGCCTTCATGCGAGCCCCAGTACTGCAGGTAGTCAAAGCTGTAGCTCATCACCTTCTCCATGGTGTCGTAGGTTTCGCCGCGATTCTCCAGAATTCCGCTGGCTAATAAAGTGGAAAGGGGTGTGTTTAGTCATAACAAACCTTGGGCATCTCCCGATGTTCTACTCACCCAGCTCGGTCATATTCTCGCGCAGAGTGGTGCGCAGTCGATCCAGCTTGATGTCGCGCAGCTCGTAGCTGAAGGGCTCTGTTTCGACCAGAACCTCGCCCTCATCGTAGTACTTTTCGCCTTCGCTCTCAGCCACCTTGATCTTGCCCAGACCCAGTGGCTCCAGTCTGCCCAGATTGTAGTCGGCACCACGATGCGCCTCACCGCCCTCGGCATTCGCATGATGCACCGCGCGATGGCGTCCAATGTAGGAATCGTCGCCGATTTGTATGGCGCCCACGGGGATGCCCGCATTGAATTTGGTCCAGTGCTTCCAAGCGATCTTGCCCAGATGTCCCCTATTCATCAGCACATCAAAGTGCTCGTTGATGTTGTGCTTGTGGAGCGCGGCGACGCACACGTGCTTCTGCTGCACCTTCTCGGTGTGACCAGAGGTGCGCACACCATCGATGGTCACACGGCAAACATAGATGGGATAATGCTCATCCTCTGTTATGTATTTGCCGCCCTCGACGGCTGACTGCATCTGCTTGGCATCCTTGGGGTCGTAGCTCTCCCAAACCAAGGTGCTCGACGTAACCAGCTGGCCGAGCTGCGTGGAGGCGTTCTTGTATGTGAGCACAGGATGTACATGAGCCTGGCTGGGTGCCATCTGCAGCTGCAGCAACGCGAATAGCAGCCCAATGCCTGATAGGCCCAAGCGGGAACTGGTTGTACAGCTCATGCTGTTGATTGTACTTCGTCGTCTGATCATGCTTTCTTTATTTTATTTTTTGTTGTTGTTGTGCCCAATTTGTGTTGAGGAATATTCTGCAAGAGGTGAAAAAGTTGGTAGAGTTTAGATAACATGTTGGAGACTAGATAAAGTATGTTACAATTCTAACTCTTTTGACAATTCCTCTTCATTTATTCGTCGCCTCTTTCCAAAGAGTTATAAGCTTATTCATGTATGTTATTTTATTCTAAAACTACTTGGGAATTACAAGCTTTTTTGTGTCTTAGCCATTCATTGATTTTTTATTAGTTTAGCGTAGAACACTAGCTAGTCCATCAAATTTGAGACAAACTTTTCAGACCAACTAGGCACCAGAGCAGGTTCAAACTTTGTCTTTCGATTTCAATTGAACTGATTTGGCAGTCGAGCGACTAAAACTGGTCAGCTGGCAAACTGCCAACACTTTTAAATTTGACTTCAAAAAGTATCTTTACTATGTATTCCTAATGGACTGTCGTAAGCCATGTGCTGCCGCTGACAAGGCTTACAGTTAACTCGGTTTGGTTTGGTGTGATTGGCAAAACGGCACAAGAGCGTCCGAGCCCCCTTTGTGGCCAGAACCAGACTGACTCCCCGGCGGAAGTTCGCTTGGTCGCCTGCTACTCCTACTGCCCACATTTTGCCATTAAAAGCTTAAATGGGATAAACAAAGCCTAGCCATCGAATACCCAAATTCATTTGGTGTGTGTGGGGGCGTGACAGCATTTTACAACAACAGCTCGTTAGACGGCGAAGTCGACTACGACGCTGATCATTAGAGGCGTCAATGTCAGCAACACACACACGATGATGTCCACTTCAGACTGGGGAATACATGGACATGAGGCGAAACATTGTCCGTGCTGCGCCATGGGACATTCAATGTTGTTGTTCCAATAAATTTGTCGCTTGTTTGCGCAGCCAGCACATGACGTATACGTAACTTTCGAAAAGAGAAAAGAAAGAACAGGAGCAGACTTTGGCAAGCCGAACAGTGAATACCCTAACGTTTGACAAGTTATTTATATGTCAAATGGATTCAGTTCGTATGAGATAAAATACTATTATGTTGTTAGGATTTTCCATTTACGTTAAAAGTTCTTAGCTGGAAAGTTTTGTCGAATATGTGTAACTTGTGTCATCTTCAGCCTCAATAAAAACATACGAAATAAATGTTTTTTTTTATTATCACGGCGACCGCTTGCTAGTTAGTCTGACGCTTAGGCAGCCAAACAATGCAGGAGCTTGGCGACAAGTTATATTGCTGCGATTTTATCCATGATTTTTATACCAAGTTAAAGATTCAATATATAATTCAGCTTTCTAGATCTTACGAGCCAAGTCGGGACTAACTCATTTACATATATAACTAGTAGTGTATTTAGGAAAGGAAAATGTCTCTCCCAAAAACTTAGATACGTATCAGTTATCCATAGTCAGGTCAAAATACACGACCATATCTCCTCAATATTTTGACAAAATCGAAATACCCTATACAATGTAGAGTATACAATGCTAGAGCGGAAGTAAAGTCGACGCCATGTTTATTCATTAGCAGCCATTGTGAAGGCAGGCAACTTTGTGTCCTCTGTGTCCTGCTGCTGTCCACTAGAGCTGCGTCTAAGGTCTGTCTTCGTCTACTGTCCGTCTGCTGTCCGCACTCTTGACACTCTGCATTGTGTCGTGGCTTTCTCTTTGCCAACGTCTAACCTTAGCGCTTGACCTTAGGTGTTGCCACCAAGCCGAACACTGGCCGCTGTCTGCAACGGATATGAGATGATAAGGTTACATGCAACATCATTTGTTTGCCTGACAAATGATGTGTTATTGTGATAGTGTTTCAAGAGCCAGCACAACGGGGCATGTAACTTACGAGTGGGGCGTCGAGTTCAAGTGACGTGAGTCAAAATTTAAATAATGCAGCAGAATTGAGTGTGCAGTGTGTATATGTGAGCTGGCTGCAGCAAGTGATGGATGGCAAAGCGGCTACTGAAGACTTGAAAGGATTACAGCGATTAGAAGATGGGTTTGTGACTGGGGGAGAAAGCAGCGCATTAATCTGCCAGCAATACACACTATAAGATAGCAACATATTGCTGTCTGAACGTCGGACCAGCGAGCGAGAAGTCGCCAAGTCAAACTTGACGTGAGTAACATAAACAATGTCAACGATGTGTAATTTCTTTTAGTTAAATATATTTTAGTTTCGGTTAGAAAAAGTTCTCCATTTACAGCAAACATATTGCTGTCTGACCGTTGGACCAGCGAGCGAGAAGTCGCCAAATCAAACTTGACGTGAGTAATTAATTGTGAGTAAAAAAGTGTGCAATTTCTTTTAGTTAAATATATTTCAGTTTCGATTAACATAAGTGCTCCATAGACATATTTATTTTAAGTATTCTCGCGATTATAATAAAAAGCGCACATTCTATAAAATTCCTAAGCAGTTGTTAGTTTGATGTCACGTACTCGCAAATTTATGACCGAAAAATAACCCAAATTTAAGTAAACTATATGCTGAGCATTAATGATAAATGTTACTCATGCTTGAGACCACGCTCCATTCACTTAACCAGCTCTTTAGTTAAAGCATTCAACTATGACGCATGGCAGAAAGTAAACCACTTGCGACCGAAGAGTTCGAGAATTCTTGAGAGTCGTGGTCGACGGAAGTAACTGTCGTAAAACCGGGGAGCATTGGAATGGGAGGGTGGGTTTTATGTGCATGCAAGGAGGAAATAACAAGACATAAATTGACCTCTGCTAACCGCATAGTTGGCCCTCTTTTTGTGCAGTGCAATAAATATGCTAAAAATAGCAAAGTAAATTAAGGCGCAGCGCAGCAAGAGAATGCCTGTATATTATTTAAGGCGCAACCAACTTGCAGCATGCCGCACGTTGCAGCTAATGACCCAGGCGTAGAGCGCAGCAAAATTCAATTGAACTAAATGGGGGGAAAAGGCCGAGGCTGCCGCCGGTGAAAGTTCACGTTGCCTTTTATTAAATCAAATGCTTGCAGCTTTGCAACTTTGTTGCAGCTCTCTCACAGTCTTTAATTTTGGGGCAGCCAGGCAGGCAGGCAGGTTGCAGGCATTCAGATTTACGGTCACGGGGAAGGGGGGCAAGCGTGTTGAAAGGTCTGCGGGCGCATAACTAGGCAGAGAAGAAGGAGGAGGGCAAGCCCAGGCGCTGCGCCAGTTTAATTGGATTTTATTGAACTTTGACTCTGACCCTCATAGTTGCAAATGCAACAAGTTGTAGTTGTTGCTGATCATAATGCTGATAGCTGCACATGCAACACACACTCACTTTGTTGCAAGCATGAGTTATGAATCCGGTACTCCGCGCTTTATGAGGGCGGGCGACCCGCGCTTCAATTCAGCTCCATTTGCCAGCACCGCGCGAAGGTTGGGTCCGCATTTTGACACCCAGCAATAAGACGGCGTCTGTTCTATTGTATTCCCCATTTGATTTCTCACTCTGGTAGATGGGCAGCAGGGTTCAGTGCACTTGTTGGGCCACTCGTAGCGCTTGATTGCCGCGTAAACAAAAATTAATTAGAAACTCATTAAGAGCTATTTGCCTGGAACTACGTGTTGCCCACTGGGTTTGGCCGTGAGAATGTAGCAAATAGCTAGAGTAAAATGAGTAAAAAGAGATAGAAGTAGTTAGAAAGAGACAACATTCAGCGGCTCCCAACTCATATACTGACATTAACGACTCTACGCTCAGTGCCAGATAATTGATGTAAAGTGAAAAGTGTTTCGAGTGCCCGAAAACTTGACTGGGAAAATTCAATTACTGCCGAGTATCGAGTGTTTTCCATGGAAATGGTAAGGGTTAAGCTTTGATTATGCAATAAATCACGAGCTTTCAATGGAACCACAGAATTAGTTGGGCAAACTACTGTTGAGTTCTCGCCTTTTAACGTTGAGTTTGGGGTGAAAAAGTCAAATGAAAATGAACATTTTCCTTCTGTGATAATAAATTGCATTTGTGCTCTCAAGTGGCACAGAAACTCAAATCAAATATTCGAGAGAACTGCAAATTTTTAGATGCCAAGCTAAGTTTTAATTGAAATGTAAGAGGCTCAGGCTCAAACAAAGTTTGAATTTTAATCAATTGTCAAAGGTAAAAGCAATGTAAAAGAAAAATAAATTAGAAAAATTATAAGAAACATAAAAACAAATAAATTTGAGGCGAAAGTTTAAAAGTTGTCCTGAATATAGGTTTAATTTATAATAGAATTACATGAAGTATTGAAAAGTAGTTTTTAAGAGCGATTTCTGTTTGTATTAAAGTATATAGTTTAAAGCTGTCTGACTAGTTTATGAAATACAAATATTAGCATATTAATTAGCTTTACTTTCTGTCATACCTAATAAATTGCAAATTTTATTACCAATAAAAAAAAAAAGACAAGTTAATCAATAGTTTTTTCCCTGCTTTCGTACCACAATCCCATTACGAGGTTTGCTTTTCTTGCCCAATCGAGACCTAATTAAATACTGTTCCACATGTTGCATTAACACACACTCACTGTGTAATTGTGCATTGATTCGAAATGAGTGTTGAAACACGAATAACATGAATAATATGAATACTTAGACAAGTAGTTGAAAGCGATTGAGCGATTGTGTTCCACTTGGAAAACTATAAACTATAACAATAATAGTCTCAATGATTGCACTCAGTAATTATTGGAAAATGTGTATCCGCAGTCTTTGCAGCTATTTGATAAATGTTTTCTCGTTTTTATTCAATTTTCAACCTAATTGATAGACCAGTGCATAAACATTTTTGCAGCTGGTTTTCGCATTTCCTCAATTATTCAGACGAAAACCCGAAGCCGCAGTAGCGTGTGATAATTGTGCTTGAATTTGAATTTGAATTAAGTCGCTTTTTTTGTTGTTGTTCAGTTTCGCAATGACGTCAGCTGATATAGAGATCCGCCTAGAAATGTGGGTGGTGCGCCTCAAAGATTGACTCGACTGCAGTTTGGACTGTAATTGCATTGCCACGCCCACTCGTATACACCCCTAGGGCAGACTAAACCCGTTCAGAGCGCGAGACAAGTTTTGTAATTGCCCATTGGATTTGCCAATGCTGATAACAGGTGATGATGTCGCCAGCGCGCCGCGCACCTCACCTCACCTGCCACACACCCACGCTAATTGTCCAATCTCGGTATCGATTCTTTATGCAACCAGTTGCCCAGACCCAGCCCCAAGCCAAGCACCGGCCCGCGTCTGGTCTGCGGCATGTGCCGCTTTTTTTCTCTGATGTTTTTAGCGGCAGGTAAGCTCAAAGAAAAGTAACAGAAAAAACGAAACACAAAAAATTACATCGTTGCCTTTGGCTGTTGCTCTTTTGGGCGAAACAGTTGTTAACTTAATTAAAGTGCACTGCGCAATGGTAACAAGAGATAAGCAGCGAAACAGGGCACTTGTGTTAAGTTCGGATGAATCTGCAGATACCCTTCAAAGCAGTTTATATCCATTTAATAGCTCACAACGACCTAAGAAGGCTGGTTCGAGTCCCAGGGTCTTGAGGTGTTTGTCTTGGATGAAGAATATGTCTAACATGGGCTTTAGATATCGCTGGCTAGATTTCATTTATATATTTCACATGATTTTGTTATATGTTATAAAAAATACTTGAAACAGGCTCGAGATATTTTTGTTCTGTCTAGATTTCTTATATATTTTTGTGATTAATTTACCTTAGACGAAGAATATTTAATTTGACTTTCTAGATTTCTTCTATATTGAGACGATTTTATCTTGGATAATGAATCTGTTACAATAAATAATTTCAATAGACACGAGATAATTTTACTCTATCTAGATTTCTTCTATATTTGAGACGATTTGATCTGCCCTGGCTAGATTTCTTCCATATAATTAAGAGTATTTTGCCTTAGATGAAGAATATATTATTTTATTTGAGATTGTTTTACCTCACATGAAAAATTAGTTATAATAAATAATTTAAATAGACTTTAGGTAATTTTTCTCTATCAAGTTTGCTTGTTTCGAGATCATTTGATCTTAAATGAAGAAATACTTTACAAAAAAAAAAATCGAGCTATTTGCTGTGTCTGATTTCTTACATATATTTGAGATTGATTTACCCTAGATAATAAATAAATATATATAATAAATAAATATAAGACTTGATATATTCTTACTCTATCTAGATTTCGTTTATATTGGAGATAATAAAAAAAAATTTAAACAGACTTTTTGTATATCTTTAAGAAATATTCAGAAAATAATGAGTCTTTTTTTATTGGTTTTACTTTTGTTTCAAGGCTTTTCTCTTTAAGCGAACCCATGTTTATATTAAACTGTTTAGCTGGAGATTCTAAAATTTCTTTTTCACACATAAACTTTTGTTTCTTGTGATGAATCAAGACCATCTTTTCGCCTCTTAGTCATCATTAGCAATTACAGCTATTGCCACATGTGCTTTCCACATTATAAATAGTTTAATCAAATTCATTTTCTACTCTTTCATAAAGTCTCTGTGATTGTTATTTATTTGATTTGTTGTTCCGTTGCTTTCCACACTTTTTTCTCTTTTGCTATTGAATAAATCAAAATATTTTTGTGCATATGTCACGATTTTTTCATTTATTTTTAAAGCTTTTTACCTATTTTTTTTTTGGCTTTTTCGCTTTTTCATTCGTTTTTTATCTGTTGTCGTGTGCGTGTGATTTATTAGAGAGCATCGTAGCTGTTTGGACAGCTGAGACAGTTGCTGTCGCGTCGTATGCTAACTGGTTAAACAATTGACACCCCCACTGACAACCCCCCCCCTCTGGCACAGCAGCTGCAGCCCATTTGCATCTATTGGAGCTGCATCAATTAAGGCGTCTGGAGGACTCCACACCCAGACACACACAGACACACACACACACGCACACACTCGTTAGCGCCAGACTTTAGACTGACTCGGACCAGCTGTTGGCCAGCCCATTAAATCGAATGCAGTTTGCACGTGACGCACGTGACAATGGGCAAGGTGAAGGGGCTCCTCGGGCTGGTCCGGTCTGCTGGCAAAACGTTTGCACTACACTCAATTAATTTAATGGATCAATCGAACGCTTTGTTTGATGCTGCTCATTAAATTAACGCATTGCCCGGCAATTTGTGGGCCTCGGTATTACCTCATATGTGTACAATGTTTTTCATTAACTAATAGCCGAGCAGCTGCGGTTGCTTAAAGCCAGTACCAAGTTTAGTAAAGTCAACGAAAATTTGAATATTATCTATACATAGTTTACCGCTGGTTCAAAGCCAGCAAGCTGTAAATAGTCGCTTGAGTAGAACGCTGGGCTGGAATAGGGTTGGAACCCACAACGTTTGTTAGCTCAATTTAAATATAAATATGATTCTAATGTCGCTCGAGGTGAGAAAACATATGAAAATAATATCAATTATATTTATATTCATTGCACCCAGGCAATGCCGGGTAATTTTCTCTAGTTACTTTATAAATATTGAAATTTCGAACAGCCAGTTAGATGACTTTTCTACCCAGTTTTTCATTTTATATGCAAATTGTAAGCTCATAAATTGTACAAGCTGACCATTTCCTGTTTTTTGTACAGTCCAAATCATAAATATGCTACAAAATGTATGCGAAATACTCGAAAAGCAAGAAAATATGATCGCGCATTGAGCAAGGTTTAATTAAAATGAAATTAGACAAACAAATGAGCGGCTAATTAATTAATTCGTAATGCCCAATAAATTTGTCATCAATTTCAATTCGGTGGCTCTTTAAATACAATGCATTTTTTATGCGGCCTTTAAGTAAAAACCAAACAAAAAACGATCCGCTGCTAATCGGTCCGTTTCATAATTTATATTAATTTATTTGTAATTTAATTTTCTGCGCTTTGTAAAAAGCATCTGCGACCCCGCACACAAATGCGCGCAATTAAATATTTAAATTGTTTTCGTTTTTAAGACGGGCAGCTTTTTGATGCCTTTGCATGTTTTCCATTTGCCGCACATCGTATTCATTTGAAGGTTAAAAAATGTTTCAATTAATAACATTTAAAAGAAAAATAATTCTGTGTAGCAACGGCAGCAAAAAAAAACAAAGTTAAAACCTCAAGAGTCTTAGCTGAACAAAGAAATTGTCCCAAACTATAAAGTACTTATATTTATAAATTTTATTTAATGTCTTAAAGCTTCTTCTGTTTACTTCGCAACTTTTCGCTACCTGATATCAAATTCTGGACAAGAAAACAATTTGCAGACAGTCGCTTTGAACGTGACTTGAGTGGCCTGTCAAATATTTATTTAACAGGAAGATGAGAAGATGACAGTTCCATTAACTTTTCTGCGTTATGAAGGGGACAAATAATTGAATAAATGTGTTTGCAGAACGTCAAGTTTTCAATTAAAACGAAGAGCAACATATCAGATACAAGTTAACATAAAATATTGAATAAGTAAATTATTAAATTGTATAATAAACAGGCTTAAATCAGTTTTTAACATACATACATATATTCATATACTTCATATACTTGACATAAAAATGACATTTTACATTTATTTTCCTTCTGTTTGCTTACATTGTCAAAATGTAATTCTAGTATTTTGTTATTTGTTAATTTTATATTGTTAAATTTCGCAGCTGTTCAAATTATTAACAATGAACAATGAGAAAAGAAAGAAGAGTGGGAACGAAATTCAGATATATGAAGACGCAGCCTACCGCAGTCGCCAACAGGAATCAGATTCCAATAGTTCCGACTCATCGCAGGCGGTTAAAAAACAACGCAACGTGAAAACAAGTGAGTGCAATCGGAATTACCTTCAACCTTTTTATATAATGGATCAACTAAATGGCACACACAGCTGAGAATGTGGCTACCAAACCGATTGAACTGATATTTGTGATATTATCGGTTATCGCGATGATCATCACATTCCCGATATCGATATTTATGTGCGTGATCATTCTGCAGGAGTATCAGCGCGCGGTCATATTGCGGATGGGCCGCCTACGGCCGGGCGGTCCCCGTGGTCCGGGCATGGTGTTCATTTTACCCTGTCTGGATAGATATAGAAAGGTGGACTTGCGCACCACATCACTAGATGTGCCGCCGCAAGATATTCTCACCAAAGACTCGGTGACCATCAGCGTGGACGCCGTGGTCTATTACAGAATCAAGAATCCCCTGGATGTCACACTGCAGGTGATGGACCCCGAAAGCTGTTGTGAGCTGCTGGCGATGACAACGCTGCGCAATATAACCGGCGGCTACTTGCTCATAGAACTGGTCAGCTCCAAGAAGGCGCTGTCCAGGCAAATCAAGGCCGCCCTGGATGCCACTGGCGCCACAGAATCTTGGGGCATACGCATCGAGCGTGTTGAAATGTAAGTTTTAACAATATCAGTACCTAATTGAGACTCAGCTGCCTTCATTCATGCCCCTTAAGCTCGGATATTTATATGCCGGAAACCCTGCAACGCGCCATGGCCGTGGAGCAGGAGGCGCGCCGCGAGGCCATGGCCAAGGTGGCCTCAGCAAATGGCGAACGGGATGCTGTCAAAGCACTCAAGGAGGCTGCCGATATCATGGAATTGAATCCCATAGCACTGCAGGTGGGTGCCACACAAGCGAACACATAAGGTTAAAACATAATTACGATTGGCTATTCATTTCCAGCTTCGCTATCTGCAAACACTCAATACGATTGCAAATGAGGAAACACAGTCCATTGTATTCCCATTCCCCATTGACATTGTGCAAAAACTAATCAAATAACTAAATTTTAGTTTTCATAAAACTCACATATAAAAATGTCTAATAATGTAATGCCTTTAAATATGTATTAAATTTAAATGTAATTCTAACGAAAACAAAACGATTAAGTACTGTATACAACTACGAGACGGATCTTGGCCAAGTTTGATCCCCATCCCACCCAAATTCGTGTCCACACAATCCAGCCTGATCCCTGTCAAAGGTTAATAATTCTTAACTATAACTATTTCCAGATGCATATAACCTCTATGCGCAATTAAACGCAGTTTCTACAAGTCTTGGAACCATTTGGCATATCTCCGCACTTTAGCAATAGATTTATGTTCTTTTCGTTGACCCCAAATACCACAGATTGTAATTTGCATCATTAAAATCAATTAAAATCTGTTGTAATACAACAAAAATATCAATTAATCTTGAACATATTCAAATGAACAACGAGGCGGCAGTAAAAGCGAATACAAGTACAAGCATCTGAACTCAAAACGAATTTCTGTTGATTGACATAAAAGATAAATGCCCCAACGAGAGGCAGTTCTTAAAAAGATGGAAGACAGCCCGCTCGCCGACGCTCAAGGCCAGATGCTGCAAATTGAGGGGAATAACATACTTAAAGAATTGTTGAAGCCGCCGCCGCTTGCAGCACTTGCAACATATTTCGCATACAGCTCATTTTAATGGCCTTTTAATCATTCACAAGAGTCAAAACAAAAAATTGTTTAAAAAGTCGCCACTTGAAAAGTTTGAAAACAATTAATTAAGTTCGATCACAAAATAAGTGATTTTCTCTATTTAAAGCACTTTTAATTATCAATTTTTTGTTTATTTTAATTATTTTTATTTTTAAATATTTTTCAAATGCATTGACCCCATGTGGAAGCAACTCCAGCGGCGACTGCGCACTTAACCAACTGAATTGGTCATGGACCGTTTGAGTTGCGAGATCGCGAGTTGGACACATGTTTTTTTCCATTTTAATTCTCCTATTATTCCAAAGAGCTACGTCATCGTGGCAGCAGAGCAGAAACCGAAACCGAAGCAGAAACCGGTACCGGGCGTTCCATAACGAACCACGTGCTCTGCCATTTTGCCGCCAAAAATAAAAAATAAAACAAAAGCCAGCCAAAGAGTTGAACTGGTTTTTTGCGCTTCAGAAGCAATAAAAGAATAAAAGTGATCTAGTGGAGAGTGTCTGACTAGAAGATACCCTAAAGCCACCGCCTAGCTGCCGTTACTTTCTTTACACAAATATTATTATTCCACATTGCAAATCCAAAAAAAATATATATATAAATCTATGGAATCAACACAAAAGGTTTAGTGCAACAAGCTCTTTAAATTTTCGAGTTATGCTTAGATGTTTCCATGTTTACAAAATCGATTTTAATCGATATCCTTAAAATGGGAGATATCGAAAGCATTAATAAACTCCTGTCAAAGTTTTATTTTTATTTTCTTTATTCATTCAAGTTTGTTGCACAAAGCTCTTAAAATATACGAGTTAAGTTCAAACACTGCTAAAAGCCTGTCTGAAATCGATTTATATCGATATTCTGAAAATCGGAGATATAAAAACAAATAACTAACTAGTTGATTCTCATTCCGGAAATGGGAGACATCGAAATAAAATAATAATAAGCTCGTTTTGTCATTTTCTTTTATAGTTTATTTATCTATCTGGTGTACCCGGTCTTCAAATCGATTTTGATCAATATCACGAAAAAAAGGAGATATTGAAAAACGTCTTTTTTACAGTTTACCTCATTTGGCCCCACAAAACGCTTTTGTAGGGTATCTCAAAATGCGATATTTGAGCTACAGAGCATTCATTGCCATGTTTCAAATTGGCTGCCACAAATAATTAATAAGCAGCCGCGTTCTAAGCGCTACAAATTTATCTATACATTCATCTATATGTAGCTGTGTGTATCCATGTATGTATCTCTCGAGCCGTACATTTAATTTATGAGCGCATTTTCAAGGTGATTGTGACGTAATGAAGCAAACACAGGCCTCTATTACTTGCTCTCTGAGCCTATTTGGCCCGTTTGAGCAATCGAAGTTAATCAATTTAGAGATTTATCGCGTCAGCTTTGACAGGCGGCTCATTGTCACAATTACATTTTATAATTTGGCCTATTGCTCACATGCAAATACGTTGGCTGTGCATGTATCCAAATGAGAATCAGACTCGCATATGTCAGCATTAAGAGGCATAATACACAAAGTACACATCACAAATCATTTTGGCAGCTCTTTGCAGCTCATAACAGAATATGAAACGTTGACTAGATCGGATAAAGTATCTATGGGATTGCTTTCAGCTGACAACTTTTGTGTGCGCTTATAGCGTGAGCGAGCCCCATTATTTTATTGTTATGGAAAAGTGGGCAACACGTCAGACGGCTCCAGCTCACTTTATATAATATTTTATTTTTATTGTAATTGCTGGCGTTTATTTTTGAAATTAAAAGCTTAATAGCTACAATTTTGAGCGATCTGATATATATATGTGGGCTGTAGTTTCGTTTATTTATGTTATTTAATTCTTAAAATTAAATAACTTTGGGCTGTAAGCGATTTAAATAAAGTTTATTTTTAATATGAAAATATGTGTTGGAAGACTTTGTGATAACAATTTTTAATTTTTATTCACGATCTTTAGGTATCGAAGCCCTAGAGGGGTAAAAAAATATATTTTATTTAATGTTTAGCTTGCCATTCTCAAATTTGAGATTTGAATTCTTACTATAGATTACTTTGAAATGTATCTTAATCTATTTTTCACTACATAACTCCCTTTACCAAAACTTTTGCAAGAAACATAGTTCATATTATTTTCAGCTTCTTCAAATCCAGCTCTGCTGCGCAAACTTAATTAAAACTTGCTGCAACACAAGCAGAAACCACACAAGAAAGAGAGGAAAAAAACTTTCGAGAGCGTCTCAAAATTTATTCATAGCCCGTTACAGATGTGGGTTCAGATTACACACCGCGACTCGAGCACCACTTGAGAAGTTACAGTGGGGCAAAAAGTCGGTGGTAAGTGCAACTTCTTTTTTGTTGTTAACTTTTATTAAAGATGCACTTCGCTGCAATAGTTGCAGGCAACTTTTATCGGTTTGTTGGCTGACGAAATCATGACTGTGGTTTGGCTTATGCTAACTGTACATCAAAGTTATGGTTAGACTTGCAGCTTGAGTCGCCCGTCGTGGGTTTCGCTGACAGCCGGCTCCATTAGCACCTCATTGACAGGCGAACGAGGGACGATCGTGGTGTGTTACGCACCGCTGAGCGGTAGAGGGGTGCAGCTCTTCCAATGCTCGTCATGAAAACTAGATTACACATTGATGATGCGCTCCAGTAAATGCTGCTGTTTGGCATATCGCGTGCCGCATTTATTATGTATCTTTAAGATACAATTATGCATGTGTGTAACTTGCGGCTGCCTTCAAGCAGAGCCTGTCACATTGTTGTTGTTGTTGTTGCTGCAGCTGCTTAAATAAACATCAGCGAGTGTTTGTTTTAGCTTCCGATGACAGCCCATCAATAAGCAACACAGCCACATCGCTCATACGCCATGTTAAATCGAATTGAAATTTGTAAACATTATAGCTCCCAAGTGCATAATAATACATCATCGGGGTGAAGTGCTCCTTGAATTATTTCTAAATTTAACTCTGATTTTTTAACTGCTGAAAATTATTAACTGACAGTTTGATCTGTTGACAAAGCTCTTCTCTAGCTGCCAGTCAATGGCAACGTTGGGCTCTTAGGCATTCGCTCAACTCTTTGAAGCTTCTGCTCAGTTTCAGCTGCGCCTTTCAACACGCTGTTAAATGGCTTAAAAAACAGCCTCAAGCACAACTTGACACATTTGTCATTTGATCCTTTTGCAGAAAGCCTGGGGCACTGAAAACCCGCCACCAATATGAGAAAACTGTGCTGTAATTAACTGGCAATTTGCATTTTGACGAAGCCGTCAAAGCCTTGTTGCACCCTGTACTGAAGACACGGAAGGGTATTCTATTTCATTCTGGTGTTTATTTATAATGCGCTATAATTCCTTTTGGTCTACAAACATATTTGAAGCGAGGGCTCTAGAAGTCCAAGTTTTGTGTAGGGTTTGAACCTTCAGACATTTTATCTTCGACTTTTTATTCAATACAGGGCATTTCTTAGTATATCAGCCTAGTTGTACGCATTGACAAATGCCTTTGTCTTCCGACATTTGTCCCCTTTTGTGACTTCTGCGCACTTTGTTTACACATTTCGCAGAGACTTTGTATAACTTTTTTCATAACAAAAACAAATGGCAATTGTTTGCTGTTTACTTTAACTAATTTGTTATTGTTGGCCGCTTACAGTTTGTCTTGTTTGCTGCACCCTCCAACCCGCAACCCGTTGCATATTACTTAACCCGCTGGGGGCTTAGCTGAAGTCCCTAAGACGTTTGCTTTCCGGGTTTCTTAGAGCGCATTTCAACTCAAATTACCGCGCTATATGGATTTTTCGGGTAAGGGAGGTTGTGTGTCGCTTTGCAGCTTGCAATTTGTTATAATAAAAGCATTTTGTTTTTGATTTTTCTTGTTTCTATTTCAGTTCTGTATGTGTCCAACACTGGCCTGCAATTTGTTTTATGCGTTCAGTGTCACTTTCAATTTCTAGCAATTTAAATCGCGTTTGCGGCTTGTGGCGCGTATCCGCCGAATGAGGTCAGCGTTGCCCGCGACAGATATTAAAAAAAAAAAAAAACAATAAAAGGTTCCACTCGCCCCCAACTATGCGACAGCTAGTATATAATAATATACGCCTAGCTGCGCGTTCTATCAACTCAAGTGCCAAAGGCATGAATTGGACATGTTGAAATGTCCAGCTGACCACCATCATGCCTCGTTTGGTGTCGCCTCTTGTTGCGCTGTGTGTCTTGCACAGACAACGGCAATTTCTTGGCGCCACTGCCACAATCAGCATAAATATTCACAAATAATGCAAATTTGTGGCCTCTATTTGCGGATAACGAATGAATTAAACAAGTCGCTGTACAACACGACTCGTTTCGCGAGACA